AAAGCACGAGACAAGGTAGATGCATCAGGACACAAGCAACTACATCCAAGGTAATACAGAGTCCAGTTCCCAGTCTTGGTCACAGGGCAGGCCAAGGTCAGGGAACAGGAGTACATTGTGGACCAGGGCAGGCATGTAGTCACAACAAGCAAGAGGTTGATAATCAAGTAAATGACAGTGTAATGAACAGAGACCTTAGGGCAGGATAGCCGGGTGGGATCCAGAAAGGCATGACAGGCAAGCCAAAGTAACAAGCAATGGTGAAACAGGGCAAGGACAAGGTGAAGCAAGACAGAAACAGGATCAGGCAAAGGTCTGGCAAGATGCAGGAACAGATTCCAACACTTGGGAGGCCTGTGCTGCTCAGGCAGCTTCTAGAGTGAAGAGCCAGCTCTTTTTCCAGGGCACCCTGGTGGTTCTTATTAGGGTTATGCAAGAAATCTGCTTTGATAGAAAATCCACTGGATTCGAGTCTGCTTTTCAGTGTCCAAGAGTCAGAGTTCCTGGTAAGCAAGCCCAGGGTTTGTGGAGTACGCTCCAGGAATCAAGCTGCACTGTACAAGCAGCACCATTCTTCCATGCATGTCAAAACTGCCAGCAGTAGTGACTGGGGAAGAAGTTTGGCTGCTGGGAATGGAGGCTGTGGAAGGTTGCTGGTCACGCAGCTGGGGGTCTGCAAATATTCATGGACTTCTTCCAGGTTGGCTTGCTTCCTAGAGAAGGATGAGCCATGGAAAAAATCTGATGTGTTTCAAAGAGGCTTGTCACATCTCTAGTGCTCATCAAGGCCCTGGCAGCTGCAGCAGAATCTGAGACTAATCCTACAACTGCCAGGATTGGTGCTCTGGTGCTAGGCCAGCAGATGGAGCCCTGGTGCTGGGCCTGGAAGTATCCCTCCTCCCAGAAAGGGAGGGAGTTCATTCCCCCTTCAAGGTCAGGGTTTGTTGAGGTTGGTCCTGTGGAATGCTTGGATTTTGACAGGGGCATGATTCCCAGGAACGATCTTTGGGACTGTATTCTTCCCAGTCCACCTGCTGCTTGGAGTCCAGGAGCCTACCTACAATGTACTCCTCATGACCCGAGACCTGAACAGGTGGCAGTAGTGAAGCCTTTTGTTTTGAGAGGATGTATTTTTCAGATGAGGGGGAAAATGTAAGTTGTATGTTGTAGGCTTTGCTTATTTAATCTGAAAAAGACTGAAAATTGTGATCTGATTTAGCTGAGGGGTGCTGCAAATGGTACTCTTCCATGGAAAGTCATACTCTGTTTCCCACCTGTAATTGGGGCCCTTTTGCCGCTTGTGATCCACCTGCTATTTGTATGCTGCTTTTGCTTGCTTCATGGAGCTTGGCCTGAGTGTCCCAGATTACATCCATCCTGGTGTATATGGGTGATTTTATGGGTGATGCACATAATTGGCAAAAATGGACTACGTCCTGTAGAAATATGTCTAGCATGAATATAAATGAACTCAGCCACAAGTACTAACTCCACTCAATTGTCCTGGAGATAAGGGTTGGGACAAACCCGTTGGAATGTGTCCTTCTAGGATTCTCTCATGTTTGGCCTGGTCCTGCAAAGCAAGCTGAGCCAAGTGAAAGTCTGTGAATGCTTTAGGGTGTCCAGTTTTGAAACTGGCAACCTTCCCTAATAGCAGTGACTGAAGGACGTAGGAGAGCTGTAAGTGGGTGCATCAGCAGCCATTCCTGATGCCCAGTGTTCTCCCCCACTTGCTGCTGTCAGCAGTGGTAGTGTGCGCAGGAAAAGGGCACTGCTTATGCAGTCTGTAGGGCTCAGTTCCTGACTAAAGCCCCATGAATGCTGCGTGCACTCACTAGGAACATGGACTCAGGCCTGCTGCAAAGTGGACTGGAGTCCACAGAACTGAGTCCAAGGAATCCCACAGATTCCCACTCCCAAACAGATTCCTTGCACAACCCTACTTGTATCTAAACAGAAATATTAGGATGCTGCAAATAAACCCTTAAAAGACTTGCCTTATTAGTTTATACCAAAGGCCTTATAGTCCAATATTCTCTTCCAATTTGCAATCCTCTCTGGAAGCACACAAGACCGAGTTTAAAGGTAATAATGGTGCCCTTTGTGTCCCAAGCATCTATATTTCTTCTAAACACAGAAGTTCAATTATTTGTGCTCTTGTAACATCAAGCTTGGACTCGCATTTAAGCTCCCATTGAAGAGATCCTGGATGTACCAAATGATTCAAAATGCAGCTACAAGTCTGCTGAGAGGAGCTAGAAGTTGGGATCACATTGCATTTGTTTTGAAATTACATTGCTGGCTCCCTGTTCACTTCTGGCCTCAATTCAAAGTGCTGGGACTTAACTTTAACCCCTGTGTGGTTTGTATCTGCTGGACTACTTTCTCCCTTATCAGTCACCAAATGAGATCTGTATTTGAGGTTCTTCTGTGGCTACCAACCAGCAAGAGTTCCTTCTTGGTGGTGGCCTCCTTGTGGCATGTCATGTTAAGGAGGATTTGCCTGTTTATTTGCTGTTACTTTGGCCCTAGGTGAGGACCTGTTTATTTTCTGAGACTTTTAAACACTGCTGACTTTAACAGTTGTTAATTCTTTTAACTATGAGGTCTTATTGGAGTTTCTTTCTTGTGTTCCTCTGTTTCATGAATCTTCCGTAATGGATGGATTAATGCAATTACTAATAAAAAAAAAGGCATGAGAAGGATACATGATTTTTGTTGATGAGAGAAAACAAACAAAATTGTGTCAAATGGAGTTTCATACTAAATCTGCTTTGCTAAAAATAAATGATCAGCTGCACCAAGTTGCCTCTGCAGTCTCTACTGAAAAGCAGAATGTACCGTGAATTATTTTAAAAGTTGCTTTGCAAAGGATCTCAAGTCTAGCAAAAGTGCATCTGGGTGCATTGATTCTGGGTTGTTTTATTTCTTGAAGCCACACTTAAATGAAAAAGATCACCCATACATCTTTCCTGAGAGCACTGCCTTCATAAGCAGTACTGCCATAGAACAATTTATACCAGTGCGTGTTAGCCTGGATAAATTCCAGAGTACTGAATGGACTAAGGAGTTGATAAATAACTTTAGGAACTTTCATCCATGCTGATTGAAATATTGAACTGTTTGATCTGATTTTCTATTCTAGTGCCATTGAAAAATAATTACCATAGTCAGTGCTGTTTGTCATATCATACAAAATCTGTTTTTCCCTAGCAAGAAAATGATGTGCAATTATACTGACAATTTAGTTGTAGTGGGCATAGCCATGCTATTATACTGTCCACTTAATTGGATTGTATGTTAGCTACTTAGTGCATCTGCATTTTGACGAAGTTCTTTTTCCCCAGGCAACTTAAATACCCTACTTTGCAGATCCTACTTTGCTACCCAAACAATTGGAAAAGTTCCCAAGAGTTGCTGTATATTTCAGAGGAATTACATTTACTTGAACTGGGGGAAATGTGCTTTTAAGTAGCAATGCAATGGCTGTGTTTAAGTGAGCACTGTAACATCAGACAAGGATCCTGAATTACAAAGCAGCCTGTACAGTCAAAGCTTCATTCACTGACAGGGCATGCCACTGTTGCTAAATGTTTCACCGAATGCTTGATTTGAAAGTATGGCTTGGTTCAGATAACACAACAATCCACCTTTGTTTGTTCTCATAGGTGGGTTGTCATGTCATGCAAACAAGGGCTGGTTCCCCATGGGTGGCTTGCTTTTTCCAAACAAGTTGCACTACACTCACCCAGCACATTGTTATGTCATCTGAACCTATCCCAACCCACTGTGGGGGAGCCCCAACAGCCAGCCAAGCCCTTGGCAAGAGCAACGAAAATCCCTTACCAAGTGGCTGCCAGGTGCTTGTGGCTGACAGCAGCTTCTAAAATGCCCCAGATCTACTTGGCAGCTACTGTCAGAAGCTTCCTGCTACCTACAGCAGCACAGAGCAGCCATCCTTGGCAGTGGCTTGAAAGTAGAGATCTCGAGGCACCAGCAATAATGGCTTGCTTGGGTAGGATTTGCTCCTACTTGACAAAATGCCAGTCAAGACTGGAAGGTGCCTCTCTTACACTTCAGAACACAAGTACTGTTTGTGCAACAAGGACTCTCCAAGCCACAGCAATCCACAATCGGCTGTCACAGAGAGGGGATGCATTCCTCCATCTGGTGGGAGACTACCTGGAGGAAGGGACAGTAAAGGAGCGAAGTACCCCCAGTTAGCCATATCATCTGTTGGATTCATCATGGGTACTTCATAAAACAATCAAACCGCACTGGCTTTATATCATGCAAACTCATCCTGTGTGTGTACACAGGTTGCAGGTGGAACCTTCTGTCACAGTGCCATGTCCTGTTGTGTTTTCATTGAATGGGTAGTATCCAAAAGGATTTCCCTTCCTATATGCATATGTCTCAGATCTGCTACACTGGTTGTACTATCGTCCAAAGCAAATTTAGGGAACATTTGGTTGGCTGCAAGGGGAGGAAAAAGAAACTCATGTGGAAATAGCAGTCTGCTTGCATAACACTGGATCATGTTCAGTGACTGAACAAGACTCATGCTCTTTGAAGCTGGTCTGCTGTCTTCTTGTTCTTGATCCTCTGACTGCTACATATTAATGGATTACTTAAACAGGTGTTTAAAAGTCAATGGCAAATGAGTGCAAAAACTGCTTCTATATTATTCTCATAAGATGGGGAGTGAAGGCCATTTCTTTGCAGGTTTTGTCTGCCCAGTGGGTTCTAAGCCAGGAAATGGCAGCCACCTGAGTGCAGCTGAAAACCCAAAATTTGTAATGATTTACAAGTGTTCGTGTTTTTCTTTTAGAACTTAGAAATATATCACAGTGTGCAGCCTAGCATTTTAAAGATTAAAAAACTCAGTCTAATTTTAAAAAGGGAAATTCCAAATTAACTTCAATGGCATACAACTGATGTATTTTTCTTTGAATGAACTAGAAAGTGTTTTTAATGCATGCTTTACTTTTCTCTCCCAGTGTAAATAGGAACAGCTTGACATTTCTAGCAGAGTACATAAGTATCAACAGCCATGGACAAAAAGCAGCATCTGGTGAAAAAGGAGTTTGGGAAAAGATTTTCTTTGGACAGTAGTCTCATGGTAAGCACAGAAGCAGTTCTGGAATTCTGGATGTTTTCTTGGCATGGGTGTTTCACAGTTGTGTCCCTACTGCAGCATTGTTACAACCTATGAAGGCATGTCACAGACAGCAAGTTGGATCCAGGCTTGGTCATGTTTTGGCTAGACTCACCAAGATTTACTCTAACTATGACTAAGTTTAGTTGCTAATTCATTCTGTTTTTAAAATTGCAAGACACTTTCTATTATAGCTAATGGTAAATATTGTATAACCTAAAAACTGTGGGTAACTTTATATGGATATGATACCTTAGTGTCTAGATATTTTCAGGAAAAATAGTCTATTGTTTGATGGAATTCAATGGACCAGCAATGCTTCAGATAATAAGTTCAGTTATGGAGATGTGTTAGAGTTAATTAAAGAGCATTGTTTCAAATAACTTGAAACCTGTAAGTCTGTATCTATGGTCTGTAGGCCATGCCATGCCATGCTATGCTAAGGATGGCAGAACTTATTATTTTTGATCTCACCTATTTTTTATCATGTTATGAATGAAACGTATTCATTTGATTTGTCAACAGAAACAAAATTCTTACTTACACTGAAATGTAACTTACATTTTAAAAAATTAGGATATGTATTTGTGTTTCAGTCACTTAATGGTCAATACACTTTGGCCCACTTTGCACATCTTTAAAATTTATACATGTAAGCTCCACCTGTGAATGGGCAAGCATATCATGAAACCGGATGGTTGCAGCTATCTGTTGAGCACTACTTCTTGGTGGCAATTCTATTATGTAGAATTATGCATTTGACTTAATGCTGCTGGTATTGAGTAGTTACTGTAGTTCTGTGATTATTAAGCATTAACTCCCTTTCATTATCTAAGTGAAACATATTTTAGGTATGCCTTGGATAGCAAGCATATACATGTTGCCATAATATTACTTTAAAGAGACATCACTTTACGCATAATCATATACTAGTATTGCTCACCTTGCCAAACACTGAAGTGAACAGAGAAGCTTCCTCTCAAGTTGTTGTCAACACATCTGACTTTTAGGGGGTTTCCAAAAATTTGCAATGTTTTTGGAGTAGGAGAGAGTACATCAGGACCCACCCAACCCTTTGAAACAGAGTTTAAATTTATGAACTTTCCCTTAACACGTTGGTGAAAGAATACAAAATTCTTCTTCAGTCATGTCATTGCAGTGCTATTTGGAAGGGTTTTCACAGAGTAGTGGCTGAGCTGAATATCATATCAGTGCTCCTGAGAATTACAGCATGCTCTAAAACTTTCCCAGCTCTATGTAATGGCTATAATATGTGTTTATGCACAACCCTTGACGATATCTAGTTAAAGGAATTAAATTCCACTGATGTACATGGAGGTATTTGCAAATAAGACTGGTCAGGAGAGAGAAAATAAGGAATCTCTCTTTCTCCCAAAAAAGAAGCCCAGGTAGATTCCTTAAGGAAAAACCCACATCTGTGAGTCTGTCTGGTTCCACTTTCACCAAAAGGAATGTGTTTGCTTCCCAGTTTGATAGAAGAATGACTCTCTTTTTTCAGAGAAATAAGGTTCCCAGGGTTGATGTTTCAGGGGCTGCTGACATGTTGAGTGACTACCTTTCGAAGTACAAATGGAGGGAGGTTGGTATGAGATTTCAGTAAATAATGAAATACACTGAACTGGGAAAGAATGGAAAGTGGAGATAAAAAATCAAAGTCACCTCCCTTTTCTGGGTCAGTAATAGAGCAGCTATAGTTGGAGAGATGAAAGGAGATCTTTCTGCCTTGTAAAATAACTCAAGGAATTCTTCCATGTTCCCGCTCCCAACAAGCTAAAATAATTGATCAACACCAGCATAGCAAATCATGTGCCTGCCACAGCAGTGTTGGATTTTGAAAATATTCATAGTTGGCTGCTACCTGAAAACAAACAAACAAATCAATCGATCAATCAGTCAATCAATCAATCAATCAATCAATCAATCAAAAGGCTGTGGTTCTAAAACAGTGTTTGAAAGAGAAAAATTCACAAGTGATGCTTTGACTATCAGCTTCTTTCTAAACTGGGGTGTTGTTTTTTATTGTATGCCTGTCATGAAGTTGATTTTAAAAGACACAGACTTCAAGCAGGAAAATGTAGCCATCCTGCCACGTGGGGAAAATTTCCAAATTAGTTTTCTGAGCAGCCTTAGCTGAAAGTATCCCAAAGCATGAGAGAAAGGAACAGATTTTTCATGTTTGTATGTCATGCTAACTTACCTTTGCAAAAAACCATGATGGGTTGGACATCATGTAAAAATTCCACGCTGTGTCCAGCAAACGATCAGGCTTACTGCGGGTTGTCAGTTCCTGCCCAACTTGGTTCTCCTGTGATTATTCCATGAGATACAACTGGAGGATGAAATTGTCTTCCCCCTTTTCATTGAAAATGTGATCAGCTTCTGACTTGCTGTGTTTTTTTTCTCTTTAAACTTTTTTTTCCAGATCACAAAATGGCTTTTATTCTATTTCTCTTAATTTTCACAAATACTTTCAATTAAAAAAATCACCTGTCCTTGAGCAATTGTAGGCTTTTGAAGCTGTGGGAATAAGGAGCCTAGGTGGCTGCTATGTGTGGTGGGGGCTTTGGCTAAGTATAGCATTGTCCCACAGAAGGTAAAAGTAGCTTCATTTTTCCTTTGGGTTACATCTGTCTGGAGATGGGTTCTCAGAGGTAACCAGATGGAAAGATAACTTTCCTGTTATCTCTGTGGAGCAATGGACTTTGCCAGCAAGCACTCTCCTGCACATTTCCCACCCAAGGCTTTCCATTTTTGACAACTACCATTGTGAAATGGTGAGTTAAAAATTTAAGAAAATGAAACTTCTTTGTGAATTAATTGGGACAATTAAAAAATATTTGGCCAACCGCACAGAGTGCTTCCAAGGTGCTGCTGACATATTTGGAAGACACTAGTCAAGGCTGTCTGGACAGCCAGCTTTCACAATCTGAAGGGGAAAAATTCTATGACAAGTTCAAACTGGCTTACACTCACAGCAGGGGTAGGCAAAGGCAGTGCTTCTTGGGCACCTTTGGGACAGCTGGCACTAGCAGGCAATTGCCAAGGAGCTGCCTTGTGAGAAATGGAAGAAGTGTGTGTGTGTTCCCTGTTTGGCTAAGCAGCTCAGTGTCCAGTTCACCTTCCCCATGATCAGTTTCCCTGGTTCAGATTATACAACAACTGATTCTGGGTACAACAACTTCTACAATAACCCATGGGTTGCTGTGGTGGTTTCTTCCCCACACACAAATCACCCCGGGGAAACAGTACTGGCTTTGCACAACATAGAAATTCTTAGCGGTAGAAATCTTTGATGGGTTGACATGTTGGGTAAGTCAAGTCATTGCGTAGTATCATGGCTGCTAGATATTGCACAAGAGATTTCAGTGCATGGAGGAAAGTTTTCTGAAATATTGAAGGAAGCAGTGTTGAAATGTGTTAGGGTGGTTCTGTACTCCTTTAGTTGTCACTTCCTTTCCTGTTCATCCAGCATGCTTATGGTGTCAATGGGCTGAGATCCCATTGCACAGACCCATGCCAATGCATCTGCTGCCCAAGGGAAAGGGTTCATGTGCATGTGCGTGCACATGCACACCTTACATGGAGAAGCTAGTTGGTCTGGCAGTCTGTCTTTCCTCAGCCCTCGAGCCAGGCTGGTCACTTCCCTCAGGGCTGGCCTGTACCACTGAATTCTCAGTTTTCTTATAGTTCCCAACCTTTGATCCCGGTTGATACTGAACTAGCAGTCATCCTACAGTTTCCAGGCATCATAGCTAGGAGCCAGGGTGATGGGAGCTGTAGTTGGCGACCCCTATGTCATTTCTCTTCTGTCCCAAACAGAAAGCCTTTGGCCAATATGCCTAATATAAGGCATGCACTGTATTTAAAATAAGGACAACAAAAGTGGTATTTGGAATGTACAGAAAGGTATTTCTGTCTCCAAAATTGTGGCAAAAGGCATGACATCATCAAGTCTGGCTCCATATATTATTTTAGAATACGTGTCTAGACCCTAAATCAGAATGCAGTTTGTTAAAAATAGCTGCATGTCATCTTATATATGTGTAAGCAACTTTTTCTGTCTGCTTCTCTCACAATTGCATTGAACTTTGGTAGCACTCTGAACTAGAACTTGGAAATGAAAAATGTTTGTTACATAATTTAGATAATGTGTATTACTTATAACTTGTAGGTATAGCTTGCATTTTTAAAGTAAGTGTAGATATCATCAAATTAACTCTTGATAATTTCATTTTTAATAGTCTGGAATAGGATTTAGTAACAGGCCTTCATGACAGGATGGCATATAAATATTCTAATTAATTAATTAATTAATTAATTAATAACATAGGCATAAAGGGGTTTTATTAAAAATAACATTAGGGCTATATAATTGGTCATTACAGTTTAATTTGATTTGTGCATGAGGAAATGGAACTGCTGTTGTCACTGCTACCTGAAAGGAATTTAAGCTTTCTTCAAATGCATTAAAAACCCCTTCCATTTCCATGTACAAAGTAGAAAAGCCATTAGGCAATTTCATGATTGTTGTGAGGGAGTGTAGCTTTCTACACACTCTAACTATGGTGCTGCCTGTGAAAATAATAAAAGGCCCACCAGAAACTGAGGTCTTTGCCTGACCTGAAACTATCTCCAGGACACTTTATGATCAGAAAAAGTCAGTGCTTCAAGCTGTGTTCTTTATTTACAAGAATAATTCCCAGGCAGGCTTAGGAATTGCTCTGGATTGACACTTGCAGCTGTGATGGCATTTAGCTGAGCTGCCTTCTTGAGAACGTTTCATCTTTACAAGTAACTAACCTCTATAAAGTAGAAGTTTTAAGCCTTTTTTTAATGGGAGGCTTTCAGTTTTCAAAAGGAGAATGAAGTCAATTGTTTTTAGGAGACTGATTGCCTGTGCTCTCACCTTTCCAAAGCTTAGCACATACCACTGTGATTTGCAA